GCTTGATGTCTCCCATGACCATGGTCCCAAGTCCACAGGCCCAACAACTTGCTCCCTCAGGGTAGTTAGCTGTGACTAAAAAGTTACCATAGCTTTGCCCCTATTAGCTTTATTATATATATGGATATTCACTCTTCTTTTTAAAACAAACAAACAAACAAACATTCCCAGCGAGTCAATTCTCACTCATAGCGACCCCCATTGGGTTTCTGAGGCAGTAAATCTTTGCTGAAGTAGATTGCCCAGTCTTTCTTCCATGGAGTGGCTGGTGAGTTTGAACCGCCAACATTCTGGTTAGCAGACAAGTGCCTTAAACACTATACCACCAGAGCTCCTTGGCTATTCTTATAGCACATACAAATACATATAGAGAAATATTGTCTGCCACACTTATATATGGTTATGGGCATATTTCCTTTTGCCTAGACATACCTGATCATTCAGCCTGCCTACCTATGTATCCACCCGTAGAGATTAATGTCTGTTTAACTGATAATGCAGTATTGTGACTTTTTACAAGAGCAGTCTTGTACAATATTTGTCCTTTTGTGATTGACTAATTTTACTCAGCTTAATGTCCTCTAAGTCCATTCATGCTATGAGATGTTTCGTAGATTCATCATTGCTTTTCAGTGCTGTGTAGTATTCCATTGTGTGTATATGTACCATAGTTTGTTGATCCATTCTTCCATTGATGGGCATTTAGGTTGTTAAGAGTGACTCCATCTTGACCCATATAAGCTCTCTGCAAAATCCCCTCTTGAGTTTTGCAAACTGTCACTCACAAGATGTTCTGGTAGATTATTTTCCTATGTTTCAGGAAACTCATGAACAGTTTGTGGCTGGCCAATTCTCAGATGTCCCCCAAACCCTCTCCTCGAAAAATGTTTTCTGATATCCTTGTACTACTCCTTATAATAGTTTTCCATTACTCTATTCAAACCAATCCAGTGTATCAACCAATGAAGAGGAATTTAACTGTACCCCAGCTGCCTATGTTTTTTCCCTTTATAAACCCTTGTTGCTCCATACCTCAGTGGAGTGGTCTGTCTTACTCTGTAGGATTCACCACTTCACCAACTAAAGTTGTCTGTACTCTCAATAAATCACTCAGTAAATTTCTGAGAGTCTGAGTTTTATTCTTGGACAGAACAAACTAGCTAATAGTAAGTGCCAAGGAAGTAACTTATATTACTACTATTGTTGTTAATATCATTATTGGCATTTCTAGACCCTTAGGACTCCAAAGAGATCTACTATTGCTCAAATCCAGGATGTTATCATATTGCACACTCAATTCTATCTATCTTGCATTAATTAAAGTATAGGAACAAATTGTCTCACACATTTGTGGTCAATAATATTCGTTCCTTTGGTCAGTTTTATTTTTTATTGCTTATTTCTTTCCATAAGTCCACGGGGTGGTGCAAACAGTTAAGTGCTTGATACTAATCCAAAGGTTGGTGGTTCAAACCCAACCAGAGGTGCCTCAGAAGAAAGGCCTAGCAATCTGCTTCCAAAAGACCACAGCCTGGAAAACCCAATGGAATAATTCTACTCTGCAACACATGGGATTGCGAAGAGTTGGAATTGACTCAACAGCATTGGGTTTGGTTTTCTATTTCTCTCCACATGAACTGGACAAAGGCTGTGGCTGTGTGCCTACTTTTTCCTGAAAAAAACATTATAAGGATGTAGGTGATGGCTCTAGGGGGAGTTGGAGTCATCCCAGGGGGCCCAATGGAATTTTCCGGACAGACCTGGGAAATTGGAACAGTGGGTCACCCTCCTTGGATCAGGTGTTTACTTCCAGGAGGCAGGGGTAGGTTAAGAGCAGAAAAATCTGGGTTTGAGTTCCAGTTCTGCCACTAATTAGCTGTGTGACATTGGGTTGGCCACTTAAACCTCTCTGAGCTCTGGTCTATAAAGCTGGGTATGGTAGATATTCAGTGGGGTATGAACCATGGACTGCCAGAAGAATGAACAAATCTATCTCCAAAGAAGTATGGCCAGAAAGCTCCATAGAAGTGAGGATGCCGAGACTTCATCTCAAGTACTTTGGACATGTTATCGGGAGGGACCAGTCCCTGGAGAAGGACATCAGCCTTGGTAGAGGGTCAGCAAAAAAGAGGAAGAATCTCAATGAGATGAGCTGACACAGCGGCTGCAACAATGGGCTCAAACATGGCAACGACTGTAAGGATGGGGCGGGATCGGATAGCGTTTCCTTCCTTGTACGTTGCTGAGTCAGAACTGACTGGATGGCACCTAACAACACAAAGGTGCACCAGCACTTGGCACAGCCTGGCACAAACAGGTCTTCAGTAGAGTTACTTGGCTGCCACTTGCCTTTCAAGACGCTCACCAGCTTCTGGTTGGAGGTTCAGGAGTGCCCCAGGAGGAGCGAGTAGTTGGACCTGTGGGCTTGGACCGTGGTTGCAGGGGATGTCAAGCTCAATTGGCGTAACATACTACACAAAAACATGGTTCAACATCCTACTTTGTGAGTAGCAACTGGGATCTTAAAAGCTTGCAAGAGACGCTCTAGATGCAACGATGGGTCTCTCCTCATCCAGAGCAAAGAAGAATGAAGAAAACCAAAAATTCATGAAAACAGTTAGTCCTAGAGACTGGTGCACCATTCGATCTGCAGCCTATATGACTATGAGACCAGAAGAACTAGATGGTGCCCGGCTACCACTGTCAACCAATCAGAGGGGAATCTATATAGGAGATCCTGAATAGAGTGGGAGATCAATGTGGAACAAAACTCAAAATCATTCAAAAAAAAAAAAAAAAAGACTAGGTTGGTTGGCCTGATAGAGCCTGGTGGAACCCCTGAGACTATGGCCTCTAGCTGCCCTTCAGGTCTGGAATTGAACCCACTTCTGTGGTATATGAGCTGAATATTTACATTAGGTAGATACTCTCCTTGGAGAGATCAATCATGGGAGAATAGAAGGGCTGAGTATGCACAGGGACATAGCTCAGGGTGCAGGAGTGCATGGGAGGGAAGGACACAGGGAAGAGGTAGCTATGGGGAGTAAGTGGGAGGAGAGCTGTTGCATTGTGGGAGATTACAGTCAATGTCATGAGACAAAGAGTATGTGAACTGCTGTAAGGAAGATGAATTTGCCCTTTAAACTTTCACCCAAATCACAATAAAAAATAATTTTTAACAAACAAAACCAAATACCAGAGTGTCTCAGGAAAGGCTCTTGTCTCCATGGGACACCTGGGAGGCAAGTTAGAACGTGGTGCATGCCACCGTCTGAATGTGAGCTCAGGAGGGCTGGCTGCCTGGTTGACTGCTGTAGGCTTGGGGCTGGCTCAGGTCTGGGACAGACCCGACACTGGGTGGAAGCCAAATGCTCTTTGGATTCACTGACTACATCCCAGAGTGGAACAGGGAAGCACAGGGTTTGGGTGGGACTGGAGGGTAAACAGGTGTGTGAGCCAGGCAAGGTAGGGATTGCAGAACACAGGGGAAGAGTGGGGCAGGCAGGACAGCTGGCTTAGAGCTGAGATGAGCCAACGGAGATAGGCTGAATGGATAGAAGGGGCTTAGAGACAGTTCGAGTCCTGGATCTGACATGTCCTGCAGGGTCCCCTTCTCTGTCTCAGCTCCTGTATCTGTAGAATGCAATGGTAATCGTGCCTGCCTCGAAGGGTTATTGGGAGGATGAATGAGATCGTGTGAGGAGCTGTTAGCCTGGCCCAGGCCGGCTGGCCAATGCGCATCCCCCCATACACTGACCACATAATCTGGCCATGCCCTTCACCACCCTGCTCCATTCTACCACTTGCTGTGTGATCTTGGCCAAGTGGTTGTCCCTCTCTGAGCTCCTTGCTTATCTCACATGAAGTAACAACAGTCCCCACCTCATTGAGTTTGGGTAAGGATCAGTTCAGATAATGCTGGGTACCTACCAGCACTCAAGTCAGCATGAGCAGTTGGCATGACCTTCAGGACGGGCGTACACACACACACACACACATATACCACACATCACACGCCCCACAAATACAGCACACACACAGCATACACACACACAACACACATAGAGTTTTCCAGGTCCTGGCAGCTCCTGTGAGCCCCTGAAGCACATGACTTCAGAGAGTAAGTGACACACCCCAAATCCCAGCCACCCTACTGGGCTCTGTCTCACAAACACCCCCCACCCCCCAGGGCCCCACCAATCACCACCACTGAGGCTGATTAACAAAAACACAACATCAAATTCCTTTACTTCCGAGGTCTCCCCTTTAAGGGGAGGCAGGAAATAGAACATTCGCTTTTTGGAAGGTTTAATTTTTTAAAAAAAGGTACAATTAGTCAAATACTGATCTTGGTTAGGCCCCGTGTGCCGTGGGCCGTGGGCCGGGTCCTGGCCTGCTGCGTCCCCGCGGCAGCCCCAGCGAACCCCAGGGGCTGGGGGAAGCACCAGGAGGGAGCAGAGGAGCCAGCGCCCGCGGGTTCCCTTCCAAGCCCCTCCGCAGCGAGCGGCAGGGCAGGGCCCCTTGGGCGCGCGGGATGTCACCAC